GTAAATATGAAGTTAAACATATTCATTGACATAAGACTTTAGGATCTCTGAGTATTATTATTATTATTAATTAGTTATTATTTATTATTGTTATTATTGCTATGGTAGGGTGGCATGAGAAACGAGGGAACACATTCACTATGCCAGAGGTGCGCAGACGTTACACTTCAAATGAACCTCTGAGCTGCAACATCTCCACTCCTTCAGAGTGCAGGTACTGTACTTCTCACCTCCAGGAATTGAGTCTGGCCAACCGGTTTCCCTGAATCCCGTCATAAATGTTACCTTGTTCACATTCCAACAGCACGTCAAGCCCCGAAAACCACTGTCCCTGCATGTCTAATACTTACAAGCTTACTGGATGCTCAAGCCATTATCACTCAAAACCCTTCATCACTCCAACCCTTCCTAGTACGACCCCTACCCCACTTTCCTTCCACTTCTGGTGTGTATACCCTCTTAGTTATCCTATTCTGCTTCATAATTTTTGAAGGTCAGAACCACCTCAAGGACCCTTCCTTAGCCTACATAATTTTTCTTATGCTGACCCCACACCGTCTTCTAATTTGACTTGACTTAAGAAATCGTAATGACACGATTGCAAATAAACCATACCCCCGGCCGGGATTGAACCCGCGGTCATAGAGTCTCAAAACTCCAGCCCGTCGCGCTAGCCACTAGACCAGCTAGCCACAATAAGATTCATCCAACTAGGTATATTTCTACACCATAGGAAAGTTAGCACAGGCACCTCTGTGACCACAAATGCAAGTTTTTACAGACGAATCTCCAGCTAGCGTGGCCGTGACGAACTCTAGCTCAAGTCCCTTCACTGCCGTCAACATGACTTAAGAAATCGTAATGACACGATTGCAAATAAACCATACCCCCGGCCCGGATTAAACCCCGCGGTCATAGAGTCTCAAACATCCAGCCCGTCGCGCTAGCCACTAGACCAGCTAGCCACAAAAAAGATTCATCCAACTAGGTATATTTCTACCCCATAGGAAAGTTAGCACAGGCACCTCTGTGACCCAAATGCAAGTTTTTACAGACGAATCTCCAGCTAGCGTGGCCGTGACGAACTCTAGCTCAAGTCCCTTCACTGCCGTCAACATGACTTAAGAAATCGTAATGACACGATTGCAAATAAACTTGAGCTAGAGTTCGTCACGGCCACGCTAGCTGGAGATTCGTCTGTAAAAACTTGCATTTGTGGTCACAGAGGTGCCTGTGCTAACTTTCCTATGGTGTAGAAATATACCTAGTTGGATGAATCTTATTGTGGCTAGCTGGTCTAGTGGCTAGCGCGACGGGCTGGAGTTTTGAGACTCTATGACCGCGGGTTCAATCCCGGCCGGGGGTATGGTTCGTCTTCTAATTTCTACGCTCCGAATTGTCTACGTAATATTAACGCCACACATCGTCATCAAACACATCTACAATACCTCCAGCTCAGACCTCGCATTCATATCAAAGTCATGGTACCACAATGTTCTGGTATATTTCCCTTTTTGCTTCCACAGGTAAAAATCTTTCTACAAGTGTCTCGACACACCACCAACTTCTTGTCATAGATTCATCTGCCGACACGTTCACGCTCAAATATACGACCGAGTACATTCACTTTACACCACCTCCAGTTATATCCAATCTTTCATTGTTTAGATTTTTTGTTACTCTCCTCACGTTGTTATTTTTTATGTTCCTTTTTAATTTCCTTTTAGATACCCTCTCAAACTCATCTACCTGTGTTTGCAGCTTCCCTTTAGAATCTTCTAAAAGAAGTGTCATCAGTTAAGAGCAACTTTTGCAAATCTCACTTTGTATCAGATCCATTATCCTTTAATCCCACACCTTTCCAACACGCTAGTATTTACTTCTTTCTCAACCCCGTCTTTATATATGTTCAACAACCATGTTGACATCCTAAGGTCTGTTTTTACTTTAAGTGATGTTTCTTCTCTCCTACATACCTTAACGTGAGCATCACGCCTCAGGTTAGAGTATGCTTTTAGTAATCTACTACCTATTCTATACATTTTCATCATTTGCCATTCTGCTTCCCTATCCATCCTATCATATGCCTTTTTTAATTCATAAATGCAACGGTTTTTTACTTTCATCTAAATTTTGTTCACTTATATGCTACATTGTATACGCATGATCTATACATCCCCCTATTGTTCATAAATAATGCTCGTAACTAGGAAACCCTCCTTTTTAACCCTTTTCAAAAATCCTACCATAAACTATATACATTCAGAAGTTTTTTTTTCCTAGGGTTCTTACTCCCTCTTGTCCCCTTTTCCCCTTGTATGTTCTCTACGTGCAAATATTGAACAGATATGCCAACCACTCCAACACTATATACACTTCCACCTCTTTTTAACATCTCTACGTTAATTCCCTCTGTTCCAGCTGCTTTATTTCCTTTCATTCTATTCACCACCTTCCGCTTCATCTTCTGGCTCCTCCTTACTCCTACACTGTGTTAACCTTCTTGCCTAGTTCATGAAGTCCTTGCTTCCCTTTCTTCCTAAACATTTACCAGCTGCCTGAGGCTCCACCACGGTAGATAACAATGTCTGGAGCAGCCGAGGTGGGTAGTGCAAACTTTCCTGCTCTGGCTGGGCATGGAGAAAGTTTCTACCGGAAGGGTATGTACTACTTTTATGGTTTTAGAGAAAGTGTGCCCATCAAGTGGAGGGAGACGGAGAGTGCCTTTAAGTTGGTGAAGAGCTCTCGATGCAAGGAACTGGATCTATCTTCCTTTTACCTCCCAATACCGAAGCGCTATATAATGACGGATAAAGTAGTCCTTTAGCCCCTCAAGAATTCATGTGTGTTTGTGTGATATTTATTTTTTTATTAACACATCGGTCGTTTCCCACCAAAGCAGGGTGGCCCTAACTAACACGCTCACGCATGCTTGCTGGAAGTCCAAGCCCCTCGCACACAAAACCTCCTTTACCTCCTCCCTCCAACCTTTCCTAGACCGACCCCTACCCCGCCTTCCCTCCACTACAAATTTATACACTCTCGAAGTCTTTCTATTTCGTTCCATTCTCTCTACATATCCAAACCATTTCAATAACCCCTCCTCAGCCCTCTGGATAATAGTTTTGGTAATCCCGTACCTCCTCTTAATCTCCAAACTACGGATTCTCTGCATTATATTCACACCACACATTGCCCTCAGACATGACATCTCCACTGCCTCCAGCCTTCCTTGTTGTAACATTCACCACCCATGCCTCACACCCATACAAGAACGTTGGTATAACTATACTCTCATGCATTCCCCTCTTTGCTTTCGTGGATAAAAGTTCTTTATATATATATATATATATATATATATATATAATATATATATATATATATATATATATATATATGTATATATATATATATATATATATATATATATATATGTATATATATTATATATATATATATGTATATATATATATATATATATATATGTATATATATATATATATATATATATTATGTATATATATATATATATAATATATATATATGTATATATATATATATATGTATATATATATATTTATATATATATTATATTATATATTATATATATATATATATATATATTATATATATATATAAAATCAGCAAGTCGGCCGTCTATATATTATATTTATATATAGACGGCCGTTTATATATATTATATAATTATATATATATATATATATATATATATATAATATATATTATATATATATATATATATATTATGTCTTGCCGAATAGGTAAAACTTGCGATTTGGGTTTAAATAGCAACATTCTTTTTGCCGAATACGGCAAGCAAAAATTTGTGTATGCAATAATTTTTTTTTTTTAAACACTGAAGGATGTTAAATGTTGGTAAGGTTGTTTTGGTGTATTTTGATACTTGCGCCATCATGTCAGGAGTGAGGCCAAGTGTGCCGTGAAGCAGGACTGAATGTTGTTCTGATTCTTGAATGTCTGGGTAATGTTGCAGTTTTGCACCACACGACCTACTGTTGACTTAGTAGGTGTAGCCGCTACACACACACACACACACACACACACACACACACTCGTGACATGTGAAAGTGGACGACGCTGTTGAGAAAATGCAAATAATGGGAAGTTTACATTTTTTGGGTAGAGGAGCAAATTAATAATAAGTTTCATCCTCCCTTTTGTTGGATCTAACCTGAGTACTTCCCATTCCTCTATAACTCCCTACAGTTTAACTCAAACAAACTACAGTGAATGAACTGTTTTGACTACATACACAACGTGAGGAATATTGAGCGTCTCCGCTCACTCTTCATGACCCTCCATGACCCTTTGTGTTTTATATACAATAATAGTCTTTATCTTTACAAGTACATGATACAACTTATACAGACATATCTCACATCAGTGACATACTATATAGAAAGCCCCTGGTTATGCAGAGCATTTCGGGCAAATTAGGTTTTGCCCCCAGGATGCGACCCACACCAGTCGACTAACGCCCAGGTATACACATTTACTGCTACGTGGACAGGAACAGCAGGTACATTAAGGAAACATGCCCCAGTGTTTCCACCCATACCGAGAATCGAACCACAGACCTCAATATTTGAGCCGAGTCGCTAGCAAGCGAGCTACGGGACACCCTCAGCTAAACCTTATTATCTAAACTATTAATCCCGTAACCTGGTGCTGGGTCATTATAGACAGTTTGACCTTAATGCAAATTTATTCTATGGGAGTAGATTGTATTTCATATTTAGAAACTTTCACTTCCGTGACTAATTATAATTTATTAAGAAACTTCATATATTAGAGATTCTATGACGTCATTATGCTGTATAGCCCTTGTGGCTTAGCGCTTCTTTTTTATTATAATAATAATATGACGTCATTAGTGTGCTTGACCCTCATTGGCTAATTCTGTGTGATGTCAATGGCTCCTTGTGTGGTGTTACCTCCCTGGTGGTCAACTGCAACTGTGGTGTTACCTCCCTGGTGGTCAACTGCAACTGTGGTGTTACCTCCCTGGTGGTCAACTCCAGTAACTGGGGGTGTTACCTCCCTGGTGGTCAACTCCTGCAACTGAACGTAGTCTGTCTACGAAGCTGAGTCTGAAATAAGGAGTGTGTGTTCACTTCAGCCAGAGTGCCTGGCTGGAGATTGAGGTTCTGTAAGACTTTTTGGGGTTCAGTGTTTTTTTCCTTAGTTTATTTAATAAATAACTTCCTATTAAGGTAAATGTATGTCAGTATGAGGGTTTTTAATAACAATGACGCCTTTCCATGTGCTGGGGAGGGAAGGAGGGACCCCTTTGATCCTCACGTCTTGCGTGGGGAGTGTGGAGTGAACGGTGGAGGGTAACACTCATCCATCAAGCAAGACGGAGGAACGGAACCTTTCATCCGTCACTGTTCATTACCTTAAAATACATAATGAAAATCTTACATGTTCACACACACACACACACACACACACACACACACACACACACACACACACAGGAGCTCGGACTCGACCCCCGCAACCTCAACTAGGTGAGTACACACACACACACACACACACACACACACACACACACACACACACATATATATATATATATATATATAGTGTGTGTGTGTGTTTATTTCCACATACAGTTTCCCGAGGTGAGATGAGATACAAGTGTGGTGCTGCTGACAATACAGAAGTCAAGAAATCTTTGTTGGAACAACGTGTTGCTGTGTAAAGCTTTATCAAGTCATGACTAAATAAAGTTCTATATACAGTAAAATGTTGCCTCAAGCTTGTCTTCAATAAAGCAGCGGTAGCTGATGGTGTTGTGGTGGACTGTGGCAACAGTGACCGTAGCTACAATATCCTTGATATTGTAGTTACTGAGCTAATTGCTAATACGATAATTTGCAGGTGTGTTGCGGGAGGCTATTAGGTCCACATTCGTGGGACATTCACCATATATAACTCAAGAAAGTAAAAAATATTCCGCTTGACCTTGAATAAAACTGGTGAGTGAGATAAGCTTTGAAAAACAAAAATAAACTGGTATATTTCTATGAGGTTTAGTAACATTTTTGTATTAGTGGGAAGATGATGTTTATAGTGTTTATTATATTAATTTCAGATTGCATGGACCAGTTATACTGAAGAAATAGTGAACATGGAAATGCTGTTTTTTATGAGATAATTTATGAATTCCTCATACGACTGGCTTCAAACTCATATTTTGATAATTTGCCGATAATTTGAGAATGCATTTTCTGAGCGGCTTCAAACTTAATGCTGATGTATTTTGGGATATCTATTTCTGTGAGATAATTAGAGACATCCTCATCAGACCGGCTTTACACTTCGACAATTACTGTGTTTTAATGGGATGTTCGAAGTGGTGTTGGGTTGTGTAGGCGATAATTTATCATTTTTGTTAAAGTAACTGGAGTAATTTCCAAGTGATAACTTGCTGATATATAACTGCAGTAAAATCTTATGCTGCGCTCTGCACAATGCTTTTTTGTGTATTGAGTTAGAGGCGGCGGGGCTACGGAATTGCTGTTCCCGGACTGACCGGCGGTTGAAACACATCTCTTCCCTTAAGGGAAGTTCCTTGATGCTGGTGAGGGGCTCTTGATCTAAAGAATTGGATCTGTGCTCCGGTTCCCTGAATTGAGTCTGAATACCTTCCATCCCCCCACATGCGCTGTATAATCCTACAGGTTTAGCGCTCCCCCATGATTATAATAATAATTAAACCCATCTCGTTCTGATGTACGTTGGAAGACAGCCACTGAATGACTGACGGTGAATGTGGTTTCCTTAACTGGGTCATCCTAATTTGGTGAGAGACGGGCGATGTAGTAGAGAGAAAAAAATTACACGTCTGGATTGTTTTGAACACAAGATTTCGTATATAATTCCTCTCCATACCTCGGTGTTCTCAATAGGCAAATCTCTCTTACAAAAGGCTGTAGCAACCTGCAGGTAACTGACTTCTTTGTCATAGGGGTAGAAAGCTCGACAATATAGAAAACAAAGGTTGTGCTATTGTTTGTTTATGGTAAAGGCTAATTACAAACACAGGACTGTCGTTGTTTGTTCATGTGCGCTTATGAATGAGGTCGTTTACCTTATGGTTAGGCTGCTTGCATAAATCTGTACTTGATAACCTTAACATCTTTTCAAGATGACCTTAACAGATCATAGCAGCAACAACAGATTATTAGCTCAGTTTTCCGTGATCCAGGAAATTAAAGTACAAGTCCCTTTCCTCCGATCAAATCTGATTGCTTCCCATTCATCCATCAATCCATATATATATATAATATATATATATATATATATATATATATATAAAGGAATAATAAGCAATAATTTCTCAAAAGTCATTCTGAACCTAACGAAAAAATATATTTCATTGTGTTTGTTTATTATTAAATTATTGTAAACTTATCTAAAATATATTTTGTTGGATTAGGCTAAATTGAATTACGCTTGTTTTAATAAGGTTAGGTGAGTTTTCTAAGGTTTTTTTGGTACAAAATTATTCATTTTTACATTAACATAAATTAAAATTTATATATCTTTAAAAGTATAAGAGAAAAATTTAGAATAAACTTAATTTTAAATGAGTTCTTGCTAATTGACCAGTTTTACCTATTCGGCACGACACACACACACACACACACACACACAACACACACACACACACACACACCACAACAAAATATATATATATATATATATATATATTATATATATATATATATATATATATATATATATAATATATATATATATATTATTGTGCCCACGGAACAAGTGGTATCGATCAATAACAACACTGCACTAGCCAAGTAGTCAAACCCATGCTGTTTCGGCCCACCTCCTGGTGAGAGAGGCGGCGGGCCAAAACACCATGGGTTTGACTCCTTGGCTAGTGCAGTGTTCTTTTCGATATAAGAACATATGAAAGAAGGAACACTGCAACAGGCCTACTGGCCCATGCGAGGCAGGCCGAAGTCTCCTACTGGCTTAAGCCAATGCCCCAACCTAGTCAGGTCAGGTAACATTCACTTAAGGAACACGACACCTGACCTAGTAGCACAAGCTAATCAGGTCCAACTCACACCCACCCACACCCACTCATGTATTTATCTAACCTATTTTTAAAACTACACGACGTTTTAGCCTCTATAACTGTACTCGGGAGTTTGTTCCACTCATCCACAACTCTATTACCAAACCAGTACTTTCCTATATCCTTCCTGAATCTGAATTTTTCCAACTTAAAACCATTGCTACGAGTCCTGTCGAGGCTAGATATTTTCAACACGTTATTTAAATCCCCTTTATTTATTCCTGTCTTCCATTTATACACCTCAATCATATCCCCCCCTAATTCTACGTCTTTCTAGAGAGTGCAGATTCAGGGCCCTTAGTCTATCCTCATAGGGAAGATTTCTGATACATATACATTATATATATATATATATTATATATATATATATATTTATATTATATATATATATATATATATATATATATATATATATATATATATATATATATTTTATATATATATATATATATATATATAATATATATATATATATATATTATATTATATATATTATATATATATATTTTATATATATATATATATATATATATATATATATATATATATATATATTTTATATATTATATATATATATATATATATATATATATATATATTATATATATATATATATATATATTATATATATATATATATATTTATATTTGTCGGAAAATTATTTTGTAACTTTTCATTGCAATTTTCTTGCATTACTTTTTTCTTTTCCTGAGCACTCGAGTTATTATATTTAAATGAAACCGCTAAACCCGAGTGAGTATAGAGAATGCGTAGCTGAAGTGACTTATTTGATGACTATTCACATGCATGTATTCAAGAAAGTTCTGGCTGGTATATCTCATGTGTGGGAAAGTTGCGTAGCCATAACAAGCGTGTGAAGTACGCGGAGTGGTGCTTTCTCTCTGTCAGGTTGTGTGTGTGTGTGTGTGTGTGTGTGTGTGTGTGTGTGTGTGTGTGTGTGTGTGTGTGTGTGTGTGTGTGGTGTGTGTGTGTGTGTGTGTGTGTGTGTGTGTGTGTGGTGTGGTGTGTGTGGTGTGTGTGTGTGGTGTGTGTGTGTGTGTGTGTGTGTGTGTGTGTGTGTGTGTGTGTACTCGCCTAATTGTACTCACTTAATTGTGGTTGCAGGGGTCGAGACTCAGCTCCTGGCTCCGCCTCTTCACTGATCGCTACTAGGTCCTCTCTCTCTCTCTCTGCTTCCAGAGCTTTGTCATACCTCGTCTTAAAGCTATGTATAGTTCCTGCCTCCACTACATCACTTGTTAGGCTATTCCACTTCCTGACAACTCTATGACTAAAGAAATACTTCCTAACATCCCTCTGACTCGTCTACGTCTTCGGCTTCCAATTGTGACCTCTTGTTTCTGTGTCCCCTCTCTAGAACAACCTGTCTCTGTCTAGCTTATCTATTTCACGCAGTATTTTGTATGTCGTTATCATGTCTCCCCTGACCCTCCTGTCCTCCAATGTCGTCAGTCCGATTTCCCTCAACCTTTCTTCGTAGGACATACCCCTGAGCTCCGGAACTAGCCTTGTTGCAAACCTCTGCACTTTCTCTAGTTTCTTGACGTGTTTCACCAGGTGTGGGTTGCAAACTGGTGCTGCATACTCCAGTATGGGCCTGATGTACACAGTGTACAGTGTCTTGAACGATTCCTTACTAAAGTATCGGAACGCTATTTTCAGGTTTGCCAGGCGCCCATATGCTGCAGCAGTTACCTGGTTGTTGTGTGCCTCCGGAGACATGCTCGGTATTATGGTCGCCCCTAGATCTTTCTCCTTGAATGAGGTTTGCAGTCCTTTGCCACCTAGTCTATACTCTGTCTGCGATTTTCTTTGCCCTTCTCCGATCTTCATGACTTTGCATTTGGCAAGGTTGAATTCAAGAAGCCAGTTGCTGGACCACGTGTCCAGTCTGTCTAGGTCTCTTTGAAGTTCTGCCTGGTCCTCATCTTATTTAATTCTCCTAATTAACTTCACATCATCTGCAAACAGGGACACTTCTGAGTCTATCCCTTCCGTCATGTCATTCACATATACCAGAAATAGCACTGGTCCTAGGGCCGACCCCTGTGGGACCCCGCTCGTCACAGGTGCCCACTGTGATACCTCATCCTGTACCATGACTCGTTGTTGCCTCCCTGTCAGATATTCTCTGATCCATTGCAGTGCCCTTCCTGTTATACGCGCCTGATCCTCTAGTTTCTGCACTAGTCGTTTGTGAGGAACTGTGTAGAAGGCCTTCTTGCAGTCCAAGAAAATGCAATCAACCCACCCTCTGTCTCGTGTCATACTTCTGTAACTTTGTCATAGAACTCCAGAAGGTTTGTGACACAGGATTTGTATGTGTGTGTGTGTGTATGTGTGTGTGTATGTGTGTGTGTGTGTGTGTGTGTGTGTGTGTGTGTGTGTGTGTGTGTGTGTGTGTGTGTGTGTGTGCGTGTGTGTGTGTGTGTGCGTGTGTGATAGAGCTTTGGAGACCAGTTAGTGATTGTGGTGTAAGCTGTGCGACCTAGTCAAGGTGAAAATAAAGTATATATGCCCCAAGAGCAGTGTATCTCCCATTGTATATACACCGAGAGCTGTGTATCTTTCAATGTATATACCCCAAGAGGGGTGGATCTTCCAGTGTATATACCACAATAGGTTTGTATCTTCCAGTATTTATACAACAAGAGCTTCATCTTAATCCTTACTTCATTTATTAATGTATTTTTTACGGAAATATTTAGAGATGAACTACAGCATCTCGCTCTTTAGAGCAGTGTCAGCTGTATATAGATCGTACCATAGCAATCTTGGTATACTATACCAAGTTGAGCACAGACACATGTAAACTTGGGTAAAGATACTCAGGTTTACATGTGTCTGATTCTTTATAGAGCGCATCCTTCTCACACAGATCTTGCGCCTGCCTTCCTGTTTTTTTTTTTTTTATCCCTTAGGTAGGTGTGAGATATATGTCTAGGTGAATATACAGTGAGAGACGTCTTGGTGAATATACACTTAGAGATATACGTCTATTGGTGTAAATATATCGTTTACATAGTGTATCTACAGTGACGTTAGAGGCATTGACAGAGATGGTGTTGATGATCAGGTGGTGTCAGACGCAGTGCTGGAGGTGATATGAGACAGTGTTGGTGATATGAGATGCAGTGTTGGTGAGATGAGACGCAGTGTTGGTGATATGAGAAGCAGTGTTGGAGGTAATGTGAGAGGCCGTACATAACTGAGGTGGTGAAAGACGCAGTGTTTCAGGTGTGGGAAGGTGGTGGAGTTGGTGCTGGAGGTTTGAGACGTGGTGGTGCTGGAGGTGTGGGAAGTGGTGTAGGTGTGGGAGGAGGTGGTGCTGGAGATAGTAACAAGGCCGGGGTCACTCTAGGTCACCGCTGCACCACAATTCACTTCACCATTGAGATCAGTGAATGTCTCGGAATAAAAAAAACAGGTCTATCCCACCTGTCTCTGCTATTTTTAGCGCAGCTAACACTGTTTTTGCTCACAGACGTTCGCGTGTGTGTATGTGTATTAGTATTTTTGGGGATATTTTATTTATATATACTTGTGTATGCGGCTGGAATCATAATGGCTGACAATTTGATGTCAACAGAGGATGAGTGAGTAGGCTGTTAATTTTGGAAATGATTCATTATTATAAAAACATTAGAATGTCAATTAATTTAATTGATAGTAGGCCTTTTGGAAAATTCATGTAAGTTGGTGTGTCAGGTTGTACCTGTAAAATATTTGTACACAGTAATATGAGTGAATTAATATAAATGAGAAATATTTGGCAGGGATAGGCTTTCCAATGTATTTTTATTTATATACTGTACATGCTGACACGTTAGGCTGTATTATATAATTACCCGGGAAGGCGGGTCTCTGTGAGGTGAGGAAGACTTTGTAATTATTGTTGAAATGTCTTGCCTAATTATTGCATATGCAAGTATTTTGTGGTTTGTTTATATATTTTTTTTTACCAGAAGTCTTGTATTGTTGAATGTGTGTAATTAATGATTTCGAAGTTAATGTTAATAAATGTCAGAGGCTAAAATTACAAAGTGCATTATAAAATAATAAAAGAGATTGGTAGTTGCAGAAGGGTGTGGAAGGGGTAAAGTTTATGTTGGATTATGTCTAGAGTGAACGCCAGA